TAAAAAGTGGCGTTGCATCGGTTAATTTCAGTTTTACACAGTTTCGCTGTGCTTTGTTGCCCTTACAGATATTTTTTGAAATGGATATAATCCGTTATATACAGGGTGATTCAAAATTGGCGTCATTCCTTTTAAGGGGTGATGGAGGCTCACTTGGGGAGTACGAGAAAAATATTGAAAATTTTTTTTCGAAAATTTCTGGAAGATATTAACAGTTGAAGATCGAATTACAACTTTGCGCTATTAAGCATTGTTTTGAAATTGTAAAATGTATTTCTGATATGGTTTTTTCCAAATTTCTCAGTTTTTAATAACAATTAATTTATTTTGGTAGTTTTTCTGTACTCCTATAACACCGCCAGACAACACCCCCAGAGAAATGACGTCAATTTTGAATCATCCTGTATTTCAGCATTTAATTTTATATGCGTTAGGTAGTTTTGTTTAAAATTAAAACATATACTGTAATCAATTGTGAGTGGCAGATTTATAAGCATTTTATGGATATTTTCTCCAAGAACTTTTCGGTTTTTGATTTTAACGGCATATAGATCAAATTCTTGATATGCTATTTTGTAGACGGTTCAGCTTCCGAAAACGGAAAAATATCATAAACGTCAGGAACTGAAACAGGTTTACCTCACTTCACTTTGATTCTTGTTCACTCTGATTTGAATTTTGTTAAGCATTATATGTTTTTGTTTGTTTGTCATATTTGTTGTTACTAAGAGTTCAATCGGCATATGCTCTTGATTATAATGGTCATTATAACACAAGCAAACTTGTTGTTCTTATGATGAAATTTAACATTATAATTACCTTATTTATATAAGGTTTAAACATCCGCCACTCCATTGTTACATAGGATTCATTCAGCAATGTATGAATTCTGACTTTGTTTCTTGTTTTATTTAGGTGTTTTGTTCGTTGAACTTTTCGTTTTTTCTTAATTTTTACGTTTGATGAGTTTGTTGGTTTTGTAAGTTGAACTAATGACTACCATTCATTAACTGAAATGTTTGATGTTTAATTTTGAACGGTAAATTTTGTGTAAAAATGTGCCTATGCAAGTTCCGCAGTATGAGTAAAAGTCATAAATTCCACCATTAAAACGTATGTTTACTTAGTTATGTAGTTTTCAGTCATTAATCCGAATTGCAGATGTTGAATTATTTTATAATATATTAAAATGTTGTTATAAATAAAGAAATGGTTTATATATTGGCAATGCGTTTTAAAATTTTCGTTCAATAACGTTTTATAAAGGGTCTCGCACTGCAATGCATTGAAGTATTTTATTGATAGTCACTTAAGCAAATGAGGAATATTTCAATTGAAACAAAACTTAGATAAAATTTTTGTTTTTTACATACAGACATATTTCCAGACTAACATATGATAAATAAAAAATTATAAAAATATATGAGTAAATGAGCGCCTACTTCTTTGCAGATGCTATTTGGAAGTATTTAACAAGAACAGAAAAAGTAGTTTACAAAATTAGTTCTCACGAGTAAGTGAGATATAAGCAAAAACCTCAGTCACATATTGGGCAACAATGTATTTGATCATATCTACTAATGTGCTGAGTACTAAACCAGTGGAACTGTACATTCGTCTCTCCAATCACCTGAGAATAATGCAATGTTTCAAATCTTCGTACACTTTCAAATACTCTATACTCGTAAATGCCTGCAATTTAATTCGTTTTTCGAATGCAATTCTCATTCAGATCTGCACAGTTCATAACACAGATCCGCTACTTTCTTTACCTTATAACCCAATTTCACAATATCACTTTTTGTGTCATATCACAGTTTGATTATCAAACCAGTATCTGGTCAAAAAGGAAAAATGTCAAACAAAAGTTCAGATAAATCTAGTATCTTTAGTATTATAAAAAACAATTTTTTTATGATTTTTAAATTAGTAGGATTGATTGACTGGATGACAACACCTTAAAAATGTGTAATCACCAAAATGAAACACATATTTCATATTGGTAAACTCACCTGACATTGTTGCACATGAGTTTAGTAAATTAGGAAATATCCTTTTAGTGTCACAGTTCTTGAACCTTTAGGTAAAAAGTGGACTGCAATTAGATGTCTGCCCCTCAACGCAGACTCACAAAAGGAAAAAATATAAATTATATGTTAATACTTAGTGATAATATACTAATATTCATTATTTTTAGCTCCAATACTGAATTCCTGGATGAACACAAATTCCTCGAAATCAAGCACGAGGTTAGTGATTTTGTGTTGCCTAAGATGAAAATAAGAAAATCTGGAATTAAAACCAGGATAGTCAAAGTTGGAACTAAGAAAGTCCTAACTGGCAAGAAGAAGCGAGTAAAGCTGGAGAAAGCGAAGTCGAAAAGAATTCGGAACCATCCTCCACCGATTGAACTGGATGAGCCTATCGAGTGTGAAATTTGCAGTTCGACGTACAAAAATAATGTAGCGTTTGCGTTGCATACGATTCGACATAGTGAAGACAACAAGTTTGCGTGTCATTTGTGCCCTTACAAAAATGTGTCCAAGTACCACATTGAAATGCACGTGAGAGCCCACGAAGGAACTACAAAGTACAAATGTGAGGTCTGCCAGAAGGCCTTTACAGTCAGTACCCATGCCATTGAACACAAGTATTTTCATACAGGAGAAAAACCATTCCAGTGCGAAATTTGCGGAAAGCATTTCATGTTTTCTAGATTTCTGGCCGCGCATCGCCGCTCCCAACACTACGAAATCCTTACCGGCAGCCCATTGGTTAAATTTGATTGCAAGATCTGCAATAAACACTATGCTTCGGCGTCTGGGCTGAGACGTCACAAACTAAGCAAGCACAATGACGAAGGCATCGATTTATCAGTTCTTTGTGACATATGCGGAAAGCGACTATCCAGTAGGGAGAAATTAAAGTTTCACCGACGCATTCACACAGGCTACAAACCGTTTGCCTGCCAAGTTTGCGGAAAGGCTTTTACCAAAAAAGATCAACTTATAGAGCATGTTAGAGTGCACACTGGAGAGAAACCTCACATTTGCAAATACTGTGGCAGAGGATTTACGCAACGAACTCCTTTAAAGATTCACGAGAGAACCCATAGCGGCGAGAGGCCATACGTGTGTGCTTGTTGCGGAAAGGGATTTGTCACAAAAACATCCGTGGATTCACACATGAAAAGCTGTGGAGGTGTAGTTTCAGCCTTTGCCACTTCTTGGATGGGCCATCCGATACCACAGCTAGGTCAGCTTGGAGCGCTTGGATCGATTGGCCAAATGGGCGCAATCGGACAGCCTCCCAAATATTTTTCTTTGTAATTTAAGTTCACAGCTATTTTGTCATTTAGACCATCTAACAGGGTATGTTGTTGCGTAGTTGTTAAATTCTACAATATCCGGCAGCTTTAAGATTTTCGATGGAAATAGCAAACAACTGTTTTATGGATTAATAGATCTGCACTAAGAGGATCGATTGCCTCACTTGAGCAGGGCAAGCGGACACTACTGTATGCTCGAATTGTTATACAATGCGTCTCAGGATAGATGTGACAGGAGGTAGAATGAACAAACTGTTTTATATATTCGGGGAAACACCTCAGATCACTGGCGGTTGTTCGCCTGGTGGTGTTGTCGAGCAGTGCGCATAAAGTAAAGAAAAAATGGTGAAAAAATTAATCTGCCACAACAATGAGATATTGCAAGCAACTAAAGCAGAAATTTGGCAAACGTAGTTTTGATTGGCAGTTGCAAATCACGTTTTTCTGATTAACATTAAGTAACTATCTAAGGAACATATGAAATTAGAAGGCAGAGAGAAAACATTATTTGTTTACGGATGGAACTATAAATTCGATCAACTACGGACGAAACTAATCAGTTGAGCAGCATTTAGGGTTTTAAAATTTCCTTCCAATTACAAGTAACCCAAAGACTGCACTCCAAAGCGTGACTTTTGCCACATAACTGCTTAACTTCACCTGACAACCGCACTTCACAACATCAGTTTTCATTGATTATAACAATGTTTAGATCTTTGATCTTAGCTTGAACAAGGAAGTGAACTAAATGTTTTATGGAGGAAGAAGTTGAGATGAACGGAAATGAGAAGAAGAAATGAAAGAGTAAATTTGCGCAGAATAATTTAAAATAATTTTTCAAGCTTAACATTTGCTTTTATCAAAGATATTAATAGATAGTCCTACCCATACATCTATCCTGGGGCCATTTGTATGTTTTTATATGAGAATTTTTTCCAACTAACTTTAAAAATTACCTTTATTAGAATAGCATCCAAATCATGCCTTATATTTAATTTTAAAAAATCTTGTTTTAATTAGGTTTGGCCTAAGTTGCTTAAGTTTATATGGTCAAGGTTCATATGATCAAAATTAAAAATATGTAGATGCTAATTCGTAAAAGTTCTGTTAAGAGCCAGTTTTGGTTCTGATGTCCAAATCTATTTATGTCTGGAAAGTAAAAAAAAATCGATTTCTATAAACGCATAAATTAGAGCATGTACCAACTTTTAAATGAACAGTGTCCATACTTTTTATACTGTTTTATGTTTTACTGATAATGGAAAAGGAAATTGATTGTCATTGCAACTGAGCATCTTTTACCTGAAATAATTTGCATTAATTTTTACTAGATCCATGGTCTGTGTACTTATACAATTTTTCATGCAGCTACTTTATAATTACATTTTTGCCTGTACGCGAAGCATACTACAATATCATTAATCCAATGTTTCAGTATAATTCCTATGGTCTTGCTGATTTTTGGCATACGGTTTTACGCAAATTCATTGGCAGCAACCTATATATTAATCAAGTCAATTTGACTGCAATGAGTGAACGCTAATCAAATTAATTTATTGTTAAATTTTTTCTAAAATTTTATTTTATACTACTTTGCATTTTTTTGCTTTTGTTAATATAACTGTATATAGTATTTTATGTAATATTTTCCGAATAAGGAACATTGTGCAATTATTTTGCTTATCTTGCCTTAAGCTCTAATATTGTTTTAAAATGATACAATAAGTGGAACATTGTTTTTGCACTTTAGGATTATATTATTTTTACGAAAAGGTTTGATCTTTTGATTTAGGGAATCTCAGAAATGTTACCAATTGAGATAATCCAATTGTTATATGGAATATTGTCCGATTGCTATTAGATTTTACCCAGCTACGCCTGGGTAAAAACCTCCATTTTTGACTGAAACTAAATGTGTAACTTGCGTTCCTCTAAATCGTGGATTTGTTAACCACAAGCTTTTATTAAAATACTAATAGTAGTTTTTCTGCAGTTGTGATACTTTCCTCAAATGTTTGCGCTAGTCGCTTCTATTTTGATTTCAAACACTTATTTACATTTAGCAAATTACAATTTCTTTCAGATTACATTTCGTTCTGAGTAAAATTCCGAAGGTGAAAGATTGAACTGCCTTGTAAAACAGATGCAATATAGATATCAACATATATCAAACATATATAATTTTTTTCTACTAGTTATTTATTGCAAAAAGCATTTAAAAAGTCGCTACTTACATTAAAATTGTTACTTTATCGTAACTGTAATTTTATGATTTAATCGATATTCAAATTATATTATACTCTACCCACATGAGGCATGTGAGCAATGAGTATCACTTGCTTTGTTATATATTTTTTTAAACAGCTTCAATTACATTTGCTTTTTGATAACGCTGCTTATTATTACAAACTCCTTATTTGAGACAGTTAATCGTTAGGATAAGAGCAATATTGTATATTTTGTCCTGTTGATTTATCAGTAAGATATCCCGAAAAACACATGTAAAGTCCGTCTCTGGAAAAGCGTTTATCAGCGGTTTGCAGCTGGTTTTTGTTCCAATTGACGCGAATTTGCAGTGCGCATTGTAGCGGCATTGTCTGTCTTCTCTAGATTTACCTAGATTTAGAGAATTTGTGAAATTTCTTTTGAAATTCCTAACGTTTAGGAACTGTTAAGGCAGAACCAGTCCTAATCCGCACCTCGATATTTCAAAAACGAGTAAAATTGCCTATAAAAGTTTTCGAACAGTTAGCTAGGACAGCTGCATAAAAAAATCGATAACATAATAGGCTAAATGAAGTTACGCCACTGGCAGCGGTGTTTCAAGATGGCGAAATACCGAGTGTTGTGAAGCTAGTGGCTTGATTTATCAGCGGTCGTTTTCGGTCTATATTTTAATGTTACCTTTTGTGAAAGTGATAGAGCGGTCTTCATATTTGGCAAATAACGCAAAATATTGAAAATGGACGAGTCAATGTAAGTGCAAGTAATTTATCTGGTTTAAGTGTGCTGTATGTAAACTTCCCCACTTCCGAGGTCTTCAATGAGATATTGGGAGCAGGGAGTTTGCGCGGGTCTCATTGGTGGCACCAGGGGTTTGGGGGCAATGCGGATCAAAGTTATTGGATGGTGGGGATCTCACATAAATTCGCAAAAAATATGTTGGTTCATGGTTGATCCTCTCACCTGGAACGCGTTTTCCTATACGCGGATGTTATTTGTATAGTAATTTATTTGAATATTGATTCATTTTCGGTTGCTACGAATCCAAAAGTCTGTTAAACAAGCAGCAAACACTACAATTAAGGATGCTGATTGGATTAAGGATCGTTAAACATCATTTCAATTAAATAATGCATACTTAAAAGCCTAATTAGCAACTTTTCCATAATGAGTACTAAATTGTATCAATGCAAACTCAGCTTATCTTGCCTTGTGAACATATATTGCGGAGTTAGTTGCTAGACTTAATAAGATGTTAACCGATGAACTAATTTATCATTTTGTTGGTTTTTTGAAATTATTGTTTATCGTGTTTGCTCCGAATTGCTCATTAATGGTCAATCAATGCAACATTAATATCTAATATTATATTAATATTAATATTAATGTTTTAACAACGAAAAAACTGTTTCAAATATTGCCAGAATTGGAAGTACGGCTATAAAAAAACATTGTTACAAAGTGGGCATCTAAAATTTAAAAATTAACTTTTTCCTAATGGTCATGTTTTGTGTCTCGTTCACTTACTTATTTTTGGAATTAGTACTGAATTCATACAATCCCCCAGGAAACTTATGGTTGTTTGCTACCTAAGTCGGCTCGAAAAATTATATACGTAAAATACTAATTGCCCCGCATTGTGTTCTCCTTCATTTGCTTTCACGGATTTTCAATAGTTTCGTACATTCGAGCGCGCTGTATCTGACCTCCCCAAGCCCCAAGGTGATAAAAAAAATTATTCATAGTTTAAGCAAAAAAAAACTCCAATCACCTTTTTCTTTCCAAAAAAATAACCACACTTATTTTTATTTTAGGACCTGCCCTATGGCCTTTTTTACACCAATTGTAGAGATTGCCGAAGAACCAACAACTAATTCAACCAAAGAAAAATCCTCAAAATCCAAATTGCGGAAAGGAGGTTCTAGTGAACTTAAAATAGGAGAATCGTGCGCCAAACCAAATACCCGTTCCAGAAAAACGGCCAGTGAACCGCAGTTAGTGTCCGCTATTGCGGTTAATGTGAAGAATCAAGGCGACATTAACAAGGAACAAAAACTTGAGAAACCTGCAACCGATAGTCAGGAAACCAAAGAAATTGAGCAAACAGATGAACCAAAAAATGAGACCAAAAAACAGGAGTTCAGGGGTAGTAAACGGAAACGTGGCAGACCAAAGAAAATAGTTTTAGAGCCTAAGAAATCGAAAAGAAAGTATACGAAGAAATCTAGTCCTGTCGTAGAAGAACCAAAGAAAGAAAAGAAACCTCGCAAGCAGAGATCGCCAAAGAAAAAACCGCCTGATAGCGAAGTAATGGCTTTCAAGTTTGATGATGATGTTTTCATATCTCCTGAGCACTTGGACGTTAGCAAAGTTATTAAATGCCCAATTTGCAAAGATGAAAAAGAGTGGAACGCTAAAGACATCAAAGAACATTACAAGCTGCTGCATCCTGGAAAACGATTGAGAACTTCAAGATTTTTCGGCGATGTGCATCCTTGTGATGTATGTGGTAAAGAGTTCAAGTCTCCGGGCAGTCTTAAGGATCACATAGAAACCCATAACAGCTATTACTATTGTGATATATGCAATCATTCCACCAAAAAGATCGTCGATCATATCGTCCATATGAGAGTCCACAACATCAACAGTAACTTCCAATGTCTGATGTGCGATTTCAGAACCAAAGATATCAACGAAATCACCGAACATGCCACCAACCACGAAGATCTGCTGAAGTACTGGTGCGCTTCCTGTAAGAAATCCTTCAGCATTTTGCAGCATTTCCAAGAGCACGACAATTATCACACTGGGCTCAAACCGTTCGACTGTTTGTATTGTGACAAGTCCTTTCTCTACTCCAGATATCTTCATGCTCATAAAATAACCATGCATAAAGACCTGATGAGCTGTCCGAGCAGTTATGTGTGTGTCATCTGCGCCAAGGTGTATCAACATAGGAATAGTTTGAAACTACATATGAACTCCCATACCGGAAATTTTGCTGTTTGTGATATATGCGGAAAAACGCTGTCAAGCAAGGAGAAACTGAAGTTTCATTTGAGAACACACACTGGATATAAGCCTTATAGGTGAGTTTTTGTTTTGTTTGAATTGTGATTGGAAACAAAACGAAYTTTTTTYTWWAACTTTTCTCRGCACTTTTTTACTGATGTTGATGAGGAAGAAAATATTAAAATCTATATTATAAGGGATCTTATAATATAGATCTTTCCCGTTTGTCCCAATTTTTCCAAATTACAATCCGAAATACTTTTTATATTATCTGTTTTATTTCCAAAGATTTCAACCCTTTGTTCAGTTAATAAACTAWTTTTGTTTCAAATCAATTAATGTGACAGTATCCATCCTTTACCAGTTATGCACAGAACAAAAARMWATTGACTAGTAAATCGTTTTTGTTTGTTTCAGTTGCCAATACTGTGGAAAATCATTTACAAAAAAACCAATACTGGTGGAGCATGTGCGAGTGCACACTGGCGAGAAACCCTACATTTGCGACTATTGTTCCAAAGGCTTTTCGCAAAGAAGTAGCTTAGTGATCCACATGAGGGGTCACACTGGTGAAAAGCCTTACGGATGCCAGTTTTGTGGAAAAGCCTTTGTGGCTAAGGCCATGCTCAATATTCACCTAAAGAGTTGCAGAGGCCTGTTTCAAGTCGTTACAAAAATGGAGTTTTAAAACCTACTACTTACTGTAGTTTGCTGTGTGGACAACAGCTAATCATTTGGAACTTACAGATAGTTAAGAAAGTTCATTAATTCTTCAAGTTAATTTGCCGATGTTTGATGAATAGTTTTCAAAAGTTCTCATATAGTGCAATATTTCTGTTTTATAGGTTAGTCTTGTAGAACTTGATTGGACTAAGAAAAATTTTAGAAAGTCGCATAACTAATAATTTATCAAAATTTTTATTTTTCAGCCTGTATATCAAGATGCATTTACTTAGTGTTTGTCATTTTATTGTCAATGTTTTATACTTAGTTTCACAAAAATTTCGAAAACGTATCCCTTAAAAGAAAGGTATTTCAGCTCAGAAAAGTGAGTTTCTACAAAAGAAGTAAAAAATATGCACATTTTATTGATCCAATGATGCTTTAATAAAAGTAAATTATGTATGCTCGATTACATACTCACCTTAAATTAGGGTATGTTTTTGGCACGAATATACAGTGTGTTTTGTGATAAAATATATAAACCATTTTTCAGCAAGTTGGAGATTAGTATATTGTAGTCGTAACAAATTATCTTTATTAAATTCTATGGATATAATTAAGTCACATGACTTGTGTTAGCGAACATGCCATATTATATATACGAAATAAATAGTGTTTCACTTACCTAATAGATATGTAGTGAAATAAAGATATTAAATTAAGGCGATTTTTTTTGCGTCAGATTTGTCGTTGTCTTCGAGAATTTTAAGTATTTGTGTATATCTTTAGCCATTTAACTAAGTAATAATGATTCATTTACTTAATTTTTTATTTTTCACTAGTTTTTAATCGATTTCCCGGTTCCTACAGGCTATAGTTTACAGTTTAGATTCCCATTTGTTTTGCTTTGGCTTTAAACCGCCTATCTTTTCTAAGGTATCAGAAATAAATCTCGCCTTTATATCCACAGGGAATGAGTCATGGTAATAAAAAAACACGTCTTTATTGCAGATTTAAATAGTGATAATAACATTACCATAAGCTCGAAAGCAACATTGAAAGTGAATTTTCAAAGCTGGTTTAATAATGCTTTCGAGCTTCCCCGGCACATCCACCATTACTCGGATATAGTTGCCCGTCCTTGTTCTATACTTAGATTATTTTATGGACGAGTGGGACAGAAAGTCAACCTTGAAAACCTTAAATCAATATACTGGTTTAAGTTGATAATTTTAGGTGCCGGGATCATTGATCAAACTAGTTTCGGTCCAGGGAGGTAACGGAAATATTGTGAAATTGTCATATATTTACGTTATTTTTTAAACACGTCGGTTAGCTCTAGTCCAACGGAAGGATAGAAAATGCTACATAAAGATGTAAAATTTTCCAGATTTCATTGACGTAAACGAAATTTGTATAATAGATGTCTTTAACTGTAGAATGTTAATATTCAAGTATTCTCAGAATACCAGATTGGCTCGATTTTCGACCAAATTGAAAAGTGTGTTTTTTAAAGGAAATCAACCAATAAAGTTTAAACACACAGTCGATGTTTTGTCAGTTGTGTTATGAGGATTTCTGCGTAATTGAAAGTCAACTACAACAGCATTAATTGATGTTAATTAATTCCTAAGGTTAAATTAACCGGGCTGAAATCTTTAGAGAATTTTCTGCGGCTTGGTCTTCAAAATGTCTACTTTAATAAAGTTCACAGGGAAAAACATTTATTGACTTTCAGCGTTTTTTTCACATTAATAGGATTGGTATTGAGCCAAAAAAACTGAAACATCTCAATACTGCAAATAAAGAGACGGAAAAGACATAGTTTCTGACCATGCTGATTTGTTTATCAAAAGAGCTAAACTTTTGCGACCATTGTTTGAAACTGGCAAGTTTTTCAAGACTACAGGTCGTCGTTGCAAAAATAATATTCCTGACGTTTCGCACACACGAGTTGCTTACACCTTCAGGGGTATTCGAAAGCTCACACTGAACCGATGGGCGTACATCACTCCGGTATAGCTTGAATCAAGAGCGTTTGCACAAATTATTAATATTTAAACTGATATTGTACATTTATGTATCCGCTTAAAAACTTTTCTAAAGAATTTGTACGATAGATCTAACTCCTGAAGCTAAATTTTTGCCGTTTTTTACATAAACCCCCGTAAAATGGTGCAAAATAAAGAGCATTAAAATGATATAATTCAAAAAAACAGAAAAAGTTTAGGAATTTGAATATTTTGATCCTTTCTTCCGTTCTCAGGTGCTGTAGATGAATGAGTAAATTATGAGAAGTTTCCTTACTTCTGTGTGCCTGCATCAAAGTCAAATTTAATTGACATTTGTGACAATAGTCAACTTTTGAGTGCGTTTCGCTATCGAAAAACATTTCTTCTTAAGAATAATTCACTAGATATGTCTAGGTACGTATTATTAAACAAGTTAAAGCGTGTCTCTTTACAGCAAGATACCAATATAAAGCTGGTCACGTTTTGTGAACTCACATCTGAATCAAATAGATCATTTACAGGAATTGGTTTTTTTTTTTAGTTAAAGAATGCCATGCTAAACACTTTGATTGGTTTGTTGTGCTTGTCTTTGATGATTCTTAAATTTTTTATTGCACACTACAACTTTTTCATTTTTCTAGAGAAATCCCTTCATTCCTTCAGCTTGAGCATGAAGGTGAGAACATTTTCATCGAAATAATGAATGATTCCAAGGTAGATAAGCTGGCTGCACAAATTTTCCCAACGGAGGAGAGACCATCCTACATTGAGATTATTAACGATTCCGAAGACAACGATTCTCAAACGGACTCCGCGCCAGTGAGACGAAAGTGCAACGTTTGCAATATTTCCTTCAAATTCCTTGGCAGACACTTGGAAACTCACGGCCCTTACAATTGCACCGATTGTCTCATCAACTTTCCCACTCAAGAAATGTACGACGATCACCTTGGAGATGTACACACTACCAATAATGAATCTGTTACATGTGGGGATTGTGGATTGAATTGTTCATCTTTGATAAAACTGGCAATTCACCATTATAAGCACACTGAAAAGTATACTTGTCCGATCTGCAATTTTACGGTTAAGGGCAAGCATAAGCATACCTTAGTGAACCATATCAAAAGACACCAAGGACATTATGCGTTCTCTTGTGAGATTTGCGGACATGGACTCATATCTAAAACTGCTCTGATATCGCATATGGAGATCCATGCGGGCATCCCTAAGTACGAGTGCGAGTTTTGTCACAAGAAGTTTACTGTAAAGCGGTAAGTTTAGATTTGAAAAATCTTAAGTGTATTTTGCTTTAGTTTCCGAAGCATCATTATCAAGTCAATTATTTTGGTTTCTCGAATAACATTCTCTAACGTAAAAGTAATTTTATTTTCCATTGAAAAATACCTACTATCATTTTTGAAGAAAGTCTCTTGGCTTGGCAAAAAAGTGCTTCTCTCATTATCGATTTGTTCTTGTTAAAACATCTGTTGCCAGATTAAGAAATAAATTAAATTAATTATTTGCTATTATGTCAAAAATCATTACTAATTTTTACGATTTTTTAAAATCTTTAAGTGATTTTTTTGCTTGCAATCCATATTTAAAAAAATGGCCTTAAATAAGGAAACCCGTGAAATTCGAAATGATAAACAAAATATTAATAACAACGAAAAAACACTAAATGGATTGTCATTTGCAGATATCTGGACGTCCATAGGTCGCTAAACCACAAAAAGGAACTGTTTGGAATAGAGCAGAGTTTCCAATGCGAAATTTGCGGGCGCAATTTCAGTTTTCAAAAAAGCTTGGTCAGGCATTTAAGTTCCATCCATGATATTGGGAAAGATCGAACTGTTGATTGTCCGGTAAGACTATCAATCAATTTTGAAAACAGTAACAAATATTCAATAATATTCTGCAACGGTTTCGGCCCATTGGCACACTAAAAAAACCGTCCATGTTTGTTTTAAGGTGTGTAACAAGAAGATCGTTAACAACCACAATCTGAAAAAGCATATGCGAGTTCACACTGGTGAAAAGCTCTTTTGCTGCGACGTCTGTGGAAAAGCGTTTGCTGAACGTAAATATCTTCAAAAGCATCAGGGCGGGCATGAGCGAGCAAACGAAAAAGCTAAAAAAAATCAGGAAACGTTAGCGAAGAAAATCAAGCTTGAGAATTCAACCAGCTTTGAAGATGCCGAACAGAGTTATTTGGTTTGCCAAATTAGCGGCAAAGAGGAGTGTGAAATGAAGGTGGAGGATGATGACAATGCATCATATTTTCCGTATTAAATGGTTCTTATTTGGGCTTGTTTATAAAGATCATATGGTATAGAAGAAGAGAGGTTTTTATTATAGCATCTGCGGTTCTGATATTTTGACTTGGGAAAATTCAAATCAAGTGTGTCAATATTATGAAAAAGATTCGGTTATTGGGTGTGATCCCACGTTGATCAATATTATTTCAACAAAAGATGTTCTATGAAAAGTGGTTTGCTACATTAATATATGAAATAGTTTCTAATGTGTTCACAAATATTTTCATTGAGACTCAAGTAAACTTGTTCGACGAAGAAAGTGTTGTTTAAGTGTGTTGTTACGTGTTAATATACGGTTAGATTTTCAAAAGCAATTTTAGTTTACTGATTTAAGTGAGTATATTTAATAGCTAAATTTGTATCAGTGCGTCTTTACGGTGAAGCACAGTTGTATTTACAATTACATTTTTGAAGCTATAAATATTCACTTTAGAACAACCAAATCAAACATGTTTTGGGTAATTATTAAGGCGTAAGTATGTTAGAGCTGCATTAAGTCAACTAACCGGAAAAAAATGTCAATTTTACCAGAAAAAGCTGCACTTATTTTTGTATTTCTAGGCGTCGTAGGCCCGAACCCAAATTATACTTAGTGAAAACCCAGAGTTGATTGCAAGTTACATTCGACAATTTTCCTCCAAAGGCGCCGTTGCTTGAAGATACTCGAACTTTACTGGACTCCGGTTTGAAGGGACGGGCACCCGATCAATTTCCTCACAAACAATCTCCAAAAATAAAAAGTCTGTGCCAAATATGTGAAAAGTGTTTCAGCATTTCCAGCCCCCACAATCACTAGAATTATTTTCTTTGCCGCATTTGCTTTCTAACAGTAAATTCGAAAAAAACGCTATTAGTGTCCACATTACGAAAAAGATTCGGTATATTCGGTGTTACGCCATGTTAATAAATATTAATTTAATAATTTTATATCTCAATATCAATGCTGTTTGTTTCTCCCATATTTAAAAAAAATAATGTGCCAAAAAACACTGTCGTGCTCGCTTTGCACTTTTATGAATTCTATACCAATTCATGATTGAACAAACTGGGGAATAATAACAACATAAATATAACCAACATGTTCTATGAAAAAAGGTTTGCTATATTAATGTATGAAATAGTTTCTACTGTGTTTAATTTTTTTTCCATTAATGAAACTCAAGTAAACTTGTTCGACAGAGTATGTGTTGTTTGCACCATATAAGTTGAGATCTTCAAAATAAATGTTAGCTTAGCTTAGCTAAATTTGTATCAGCGGATCTTTCTAGTGAAGCAGTTACAGTTGTTTTGGCAAATCAATTTATTAAGCTTTAAATATGTATTTAGAAAGACGCAATCAAACATGTTTAAAGTAATTATTAAGGCGTAAGTATGCTAAAGTCGCACTAAGTCAACTAACTGGCAAGCATTTCCAATTTCACCAGAAAAAACTACACTATTTTTATATTTCTAGGTCTCTTAAGCCCGAACCCCAATTATACTTAGTGAAAACCCAGAGTGGATTGCAAGTGATTTTCGACAATTTTCCTCCAAAGACGCCTTTACTTGAAGATACTCGAACTTTACCGGACTCCGGTTTGAAGAGACGGACACCCGATCAATTTTCTCACAAATCTCCAAAAATAAAAAGTCTGTGCCAAATATGTGGAAAGTTCTTCAGCAGTTCCAGCCACCGCCATCACAAGAATGATTTTGTTTGCAGCATTTGCTTTTTAACAGTCAAATCGGAAAAAGCGCTGGTCGAACATGGGCGAATTCATCTCACCGAACATTACCAGTGCGACAAATGTCCTTCTATTTTCAAGACTCTTGCGGATTTGAGTGCGCATAATTTCGCCCATACTGGAACTTACACGTGTCTCAAATGTGGAAAGTCATTTAAAGGCCGCAGGACCTTAAGGAACCACGTCTCTAACGAAGTGGAAAACTTCAAATATACATGTGTTTTCTGTGGAAAAGGGTTTGTCAAGCAGCACATTTTTCAAGCTCACATTGAGACGCACGAGTCTGTCAGGAAGTACCAATGCAACATTTGCCAGAAGACCTTCAAACTGAAGAGCTACTTGCAAACCCATGAAAGACTGAACCACAAAATGGAGCTGCTGGGAGTCGATGTTGTCTTTAACTGCAAGTACTGCTCGAGAGGTTTTACTTTTGAGTGTTCACTGAAGCGCCACCTAAATTTGATCCATAAAATTGGCACGATGCAGAAGATGGAGTGTAGTATTTGTTCCAAAACGTTTACCACGCGATATAGTCTAACAGTGCATATGAGACTGCACACTGGAGTGAAGAAATTCGAATGCTCGGTTTGTGGAGAAAAATTCGCGAGGAAACAGTATACTGATAGGCATATGGCCAGAGTTCATAGCACATAGATAGTTATTTGAGCGTCTGTCAGTCTAATTGTTAAAAATGTTCAAAATTAATAAATTAATCATCAGGCTTAGGTGCAATCTTCCCTTAGCTTTAACTTTAAGGAAGTAATCTGTGTGAAGGTAAATAAATATATTTTGTGTTATTATAAATACCTACAAATCCTCTAATGATGATATTTACAGGGTGTTTCCTCATAAGTTGACCCCCCCCCGGAAATCGTTTATTTCACAAAAATTGTGAAAGTGACCAACACAAAAGTTGCTTAGTTTTACTCAAATTTTTTAAATCTGAAAAAACACGGAAATGTCCAAATTTTACATTAAGGCGCCTGACTACAGTCTCCTACACAATATTATATAAATAACCTCCGGGAAAAGAATCAAGAAGCGTTAGGTCGGGACTATTTTAAGGCCATTGGATAGCACCCACTCGTCCAATCCAGATATCAACATTTTAATTTTAAAAAAGTGCTACTGAGCGAACGTTATGGGGTGGAGGAATCACCTTGTCAACTTTCAAGGCTATTTTGATTTGTTGCTATTTATTATTTTTGAAACGTAATATAGGAAAAAACGGCTAATACAAATATAGGCAAAATATGTGTTTGAAGTCAGGAAAAAAATCCTATTGGTATGTCTAAAAATATATTGACTGACTAAATGACTATTTCGAATTTTGACATTTCCGTATTGTATATTTGTATTTGAAATTCAGATTTAAAGAACCTGAGCAAAATTAAACTTTTGTGTTGGTCACTTTTACAATTTTTTTGAAATAAACGATCTAGGGGGTTTCAGCTTATGAAGAAACGCCCTGTAGATAATTAAGACTATGTTGTTGTTGAAGTGAGAGTTAAAAATACTAAGTCACGATTAACCTTTGATGTCCATCTTCCTTATCTACTTACAATCATCACGTTGCGATGGTAAACAGAATTTACCCCAGTTAATACGAAAAACCAATGGCTATGTATTCTAATAATTTATATATGTTGTAGGGAATGGAAGCCACTGTGGGATGAAAAATTTAAACGAAAGTTTAGCAGAAGAGCAAAAACATCAAAGCCAAAATTTGTGAAACCATCCAAACCATCAATGGATTGGAGTACGGATGACGAGGTTGCAGAAGATACCAGGCAGCTAAGTACCATCAAAACAAGCATCAGAAAAGTGCGAAAACCCAATGCTAACGGTGAAAGCAAATCTGTGCTTTCCAAGTTGTACGTTTGGCTTGCTGATGGAACATTATCTGATAAGCAGGAAAACGACTGGTCGGAGGCTGAGTATAAGTCGGAAACTGACGAGCTCAAGTCACTGAAAGAGGAGTCGAAAGATCATTCAGCTAAAACCAAGCAGGATAAATCCGGACTGTGTCCGAAATGTGGAAAGTTTGTCTCAGATATTAGAAGTCACATGAAGAAACATACAAACCTTTTCACTTGCGATCTCTGTTTTGTGAATTTCAGAAGCGAGCGCCATTTGAACGAGCATAAAGAAGTGCATGAATCAAAAGATTTTCATAAGTGCGATATTTGCAGATTGATATTTAAAGATGTGACCAAACTGGCTCTTCACAGGTATATCCACACAAGGAGCTACATTTGCCCGATTTGCGGCTTCAGAGCTACAAGCAAATTTAGGAACTCAATAATTTCCCATATAAAAAGGCACGAAGATAACTATGCGGTCAGATGCGATAGATGCAATAAGGGCTTTTTCAGCAAGAAAAAATTGGAAGAACACATAGAATGGCATGAAAACATACCTAAGTATCAGTGCCAAATTTGCTTTAAAAAGTTCCCAGTTAAATCCTACCTGACCCTTCACAATAAATTTAATCACAAAAAGGAGCTTTATGGAACAGAAGAAATATTCCAGTGTGAGCTATGCGGGCGGAAGTTCACATTTGAAAAAAGCTTCAAAAGGCATTTGAGCTGCATTCACAAAATCGGAAAAGATTTTACGGTAAAATGCCCGGTGTGCCATAAGTTAATCGCAAATAATCACAACTTGAAGAAGCACATGAAAGTCCACACTGGCGAGAAAAACTTCAGCTGTGATGTGTGCGGAAAAACTTTTTCTCAGAGACAGTACGTAACACGGCATCAAAGAGTTCATAAGGAAATTAAAGACGAGAAACCACAGTTTCGGGTGACTTGTAAAGAGGAAGATATTGTCACTGTGAAGGAGCAATTAGTTTCACACGAAGACCAATATTAATTTAGAGAATGATTTAAGTCAGTTTTGGTTCTGCAATTTTTGTTGGTTCAAATGCACACGCGTGTTTAAGCAGAAAAGCACGAAAAAAACCAATGCCATTGAGGTTGCGATCGCCTGAATCGATCCTTATCTAATATCACGTTGAAAGGCTGATTTAAACAATATTATATCGTAAATTCCTATAGTGATAGTTAAATATGCAATAAGTATTGAAAATACTCAATGTGTTGTCTGCAATGACCCTTGTTTTTACTTTACGTTTAAGTTTACTCTCACCGTCAAAGAACATTTCCTCCGTTGCTTCTTGCAAACGTTATTTCCATATTCGAAGAATTCTATTGATTGGAATGAGTTGAAGTTCCAGAATAAATAGAGAATACACAAGTAAGCAAACACAAACCAGTTATTTCCCATCTTTAAAATTTAATTGTCAATAGACTACACTAAGGCAAAAAACGACGTTTAAAGGATTATAATTGATCGACCTTTTGCAGTGTTAATTTAACAAATTATACCATTTGAATATTTTAGTAAGAAGTACAGCAATCAAAGCAACACGCATTTTTTACGCTTATCAATGTTATTTGGTTTTCAGAAAATAATCCATTACGTTAAAAATCATTTGTGAACGGATCATAATGACTAATATGATCCCATTATC